ATAAGACCCTAAATCCTTCATTTCAAAACGACAAACCAATTCTGATTTCAAATCTACAATCCCATCAACGTCATTACTAGTAATAATCATATCGTCAACATATATCAAAATTAGAATACGACCAGCTGAAGTGCATCTTAAGAATAGGGCATAGTCATGATGACTGGATGTAAAATCATGAGAGATAATAACATTGGAGAATTTCTCAAACCAGGCATGAGATGCTTGTTTGAGGCCATAAAGTGTCTTATTGAGCTTACAAACATATTCAGAGAGTGAGAAAAACCAGGAGAAGGAACCATATAAACCTCCTCTTGAAGATTTCCATTCAAAAATGTATTTTTGACATCCAATTGGGAGAGACCCCACTTACGAACAGATGTAATTGTAATAAGTATATGAACAATGGTCATCTTAGCAATAGGAGCAAAAGTCTCATCATAATCCAGACTATACTGTTGATTAAAACCCTTAACAACCAATCTAGCCTTGTAACGCTCACAATTGAATCATCTTATTTGGTTTCATCTTATAAACCCAATGAGAACCAATAGCATGTTTACCTGAAGGTAATGCAACTAAGTCTCAAGTGTCTATCCTATGTAGAGCAGAGAGTTCATCAACCATAGTCTGTTGTAAAAGATGATCCATAATAGCTTTTTTTATAGGCAGATGATTCAGATAGCTTGTGAATGGAGGTTAGAAAACAAAATGACTCAGAATAACAAGAATAAGCAAAATCGGGTAATTGAGTAGATTTATGAATACGTTGAGGATATCGATGAAGGGAAGAAACAGAAACTGGATCAACGATCTCAGACGGTGCTTGGGTGGCCATAGAAGGAGGATGGGTATCATGAGCCAGAACATGTGTACTTGTAGGACATGAAGAATCAACAGTACATGGGGTATGGGAAGGTGGTCTGTTAATATTATTAGAAAATGGATCGATATGAATAAGATCAGTTTTAGTCACGTCGTGAATATTAACAGAGATAGAAAAGAATGGAATGTGCTCAAGTAGCACGACAGACGAGATATATATAACATTTTATTAATGAGACCAAAACAACGATAACCCTTTTGTCCATGTCCATAACACAAGAAAACACAGACAGCGAAGCGAGATGTTAACTTACTACGTTCAACTTCAGGACGAAGAATAAAGCAAGTACAACCAAAGATTCTTAATGAGGAGAAATCAAGAGGATGCCAATATGATGTTTCAAAGGGTGATAAACCTGAAGTGTGAGGAGATTGAATCTTATTAATTAAAGAAACAGTAGTGAGAACTGCTTCTTCCCAAAATTTACTAGGAAATTTGGCAGACAAGAGAAGGGAACGAGCAGTTTCTACAATGTGTCTATATTTTCGTTTAGCAACACCATTTTAATGAGAACATTGAACACGATCAAGACAGATATAGCATAGAAACACACAAGATATTTATTATAATGTACAAATTTAAGATGACGGACATGTTTAAATATTGTTACTGCTCGTGAAGTACTAAAGAATCCTTAGATGCCCAATGATCTTGCAAATATGATCACGACAAAATTTGTCTTTAAATGTATTATTACGTAGTAAAGAATCCTTAGATGCCAAATGATCTTGCAAATGTGATCACGACAAAATTTGTCTTTAAATGCATTATTACGTAGTAAAGAATCCTTAGATGCCCAATGATCTTGCAAATATGATCACGACAAAAATTGTCTTTAAATGTATTATTAAAAAAACACATAAGAATGTTTAAACGCAAAGTGATGGAGTTGAGACAAACCCGCTTTTAATATCACGTTGTTTTGATTAAGAGAGCTTAACAACTAATCATTTCATGACACCTAATAACGCTTATCGAGTCCTTTAGCATAATGGGTAGACCACACAATACCTACCCATTACGATTGAAAGTAATTATCACTTAATCTGGACAATGGAATTATTAATTTATTTTGTTTCGTCCGTTCCTAATCAAGTGGAAATGAACTTAACTGACTATATAAAGACACACATCAAGACATATTAGTGTTGCAGTGAGTATATTAGTAGGGGTGGTAAAAGGGTTGAGCCTCTTGGTGGTTCGCTGGCTTGTTTCATCTCATTTGGAGATGAGTTATAGACCAAGCCAGACACCCTTTTTCTCCTTACAAATCGGGTCATTTTTGGACTCGGTTTATTAATTAATTTATTTTTTAAAAAAGTTGGGCCATGGCTCGTGTATGACTAGTTTATGAACACGAGCTCGTATGTTCAAGGGCGAGCTGTGCCGTCCCTAATCTAGAGAATATTTGATTAGTAGATTGAATCACAGTACTCAGCAATACCAAAAGAGGGAATTAAAATTTTATTCTTTGTAATATTGAGTTTAGTTCAATATTATGTATCCAATCATGCCATATTTTTGTTTTATGTGACTAATCTTAACAACACTTGTAGAGGATAACAATTTTGCTTGTGCACTTTTGATTTATTTATTTGACGAAACGTGAATTTTCGAAGTTACGTTTTCCATAAACAAAACTTACTTTACTGAACATGCTTATGTTCACAAAGAACGATTAATAATCTCCACATCAATTATAAATCCTAATTGTGACAAAAAATTATACGCAAAAGTGATTGCACAAATACTATGACAATAAATTAGACAAATATTTAACTATCTTGTTTAACATACTAAACACGTAAAGTTCATTAAAATCAATACTCGAACATCGATCCGTAACAAGTGCACAAATAATACAAGAACATAAAGCATTGAGGAGAATAACGTGAATAAACGAGTCAATAGACGGCTTGTTTGTCTGATACATTGGGAGGAATGTTTGGATCACTTTAACTCAAGAGACCCAATAACCTTGGGCCGGCCCATTCCACTAAGTCAAAGTTACTGTTCTACCCCTTGTCATTTATGTTTAAGTGCAACTCATAGCTTTCACCACATTTTCTGCACTTTGTAATGAAGAGTGTGCAGGGTTCAGCTTAAAAAGAATTAAAAAGTGCTATTAAGTTATTTTAATTTATAAGTAACTTTTTGTTTTTTTTTTTTATAGTCTCGTTTCTTTCTTTATTTTTTCTTTTCGATTGGAGTCTGAATTTTCTACCCTATTTTTACAGAAATTAGCAGTACATCAAATTGAATGGAAGACACCAAAATCTTGGTACATTTTTATCGAAGGTTACTATATTTTTGGAAGGTCAAAAATTAGTGCAGAAACAGAAGTGGCTGCACTAGAACCAATTAATTTCATCAAAACCTAGGTTGTCTCCCATGTTTGTACGCACAGTAGAAATTATTAATTACAAAAAATTCTAATTAATTTTCACGAATAATATTTTCCATATTATAATTAAAAGGAAATCGTCAAAAAAAAAAAAGGAAGGGAGTCTTTCAGTCTACACGTATAATTAGGCGGTAAAACCTTTTCCGAAATGACAACAAAGACCCTTCATTAGTTTCATAATTAATGATTAGTGAAGTAATTAAGATTTAATAATCGTAATTAACCATGCCGTTAAAGTGAGGGTTTAAAAATCTTTAGTCAAAGATAGACTGTCGCATTACTCAGTCATTTTGACTGAGAAATTAACGGAACCGTCCTCTCACGTACCTGATTTTCACAGATTTCAATAAGCAATTAAATAGGAAAAAAGTGGAAAATTTGCACAGTGTCCTACAAATATTTGTGTGGAAAATTGAGCTTCAACTTTCAAAAAAAAAGTAAGTTAGTCATCAACCTTTTTTTATTGCTAGGGATGGCAATTGACGGAACGGAATGGCCCTCCCTATCTCGCGTTCCTTTCGGTATTTTCAAGATTAAAATATCTTCATTTATCGCTTCATTTTCTTATTTATTTATATTTATCATCTTGAATACAATTTAAATTAAAAATATTAGTAATAATAGATGATAATAGTCAGAGATGACTGACTATATAGAGCGGGATGGGGCTATTTTGCCAAACAAAATTATTATGTAATTTTGACTCTATTAACTTATATTTAGTTTTCTAACTTCGATTGGCCCTATAAATTTTAGGTTATACGTTTTTCACTTAGAATATACGACCATCATTTAAAGTAAACTAATAAGGCATAAACGATTTGGAGGATTAGCTAAAGATTATCACTATCTCATCAATTGAATTTGATCCAATATATTCAATTTTTGTTAGCTTTTACAGTTGTCTATAAATGTATTTTATAAACTGATTGTGCAAATACAAAATATTAATGATCATTTTGCTACTCAACCGATATGTTGAGGACCAATGCTGCAATTTAGCCCAAAATGAAAACGGAAATTCTACCCAAATGAGTTTGTTATATATATGACCCCATACTCCTCGGACCCTTAAGACACGTGTCAGATGGATAGTCTCCATTAGATGCGGCGGCTGGATAAAATTAATTCTTTAAATTCTCATCAGGTCAGTAACGATTAATGGCACTTAAATCTTAATTAATTAATTCTTTAAATTCTGTATTATGAGGCTCCATCGGATCCTATAAAATAGTGGGTTTTGCAGTATTTTCGGCCAGCTGAATTCACTCTTCACTCCCAAAGCTTTCTCTCTCTAAAACCGAAGAATTCTTGAAGAAGAAAAGCAGAGGAATCCAAGTTTCCATATATGGCTATACTCAGTATTTGACTCTATCCAGTTTCTGTGATTCCCTTCCGACCTAAATTTTTTTCACTTTCGTTCTTTCTCTAAAGAAATCCATACACGCAGTGACTGTGTGTAAGGTTTATGAAGCTCTCTCTTTATGGAAATAGGAGTCTCTTCTTTTGAGTATTATTACTTTCCTCGAACTTTCTCGTAATAATCCTGGAGTTTTTCTTTTCTGGTTCACGGTTTCTCTCTTTAACTTTGCTCTTTCACTTTATTCTCAAAGAATCTCTTACCCACATCTTTATTCTCTTTCGCTTTCAAAGGGACTCTGGAAAAAATCTTTCGATTCTTGAATGAATGCACAACGACAAGAAGAAATCATGTTGTCTAATACAAGAGTCAAGTACAGTGAACACTTGAAGCGAACAACAATCGTCAGCAGCCAGGCTGGAAATTCTATTCCCGGCGCGAAAAAGCCTTCCCAGAAGGAGATACACTCCGGCGCCGCCGCAGGCACCAGAACAGTCAGGTTTTCTTTCACCGACGCTTACGCCACTGACTCCTCCAGTGATGAAGAGGGATTCTATATCAAACGCCAGAGAGTGAAAAAATTCATATGCGAGGTGAAAATCCAGCCATGTTGTAGTGAAAAAGGAAGTGTCAATGCTAATGAAACTACCACTGCTCCAGCCGTTTTGGGAAATAGCCGGAGGCCGTCCATGGCGGTGAAACGGAAGAAAAGTAGTGGCAGACAGAAACAAAACGGTGGAAATGATACCACAGTTGGAAATGTGAGGAAGTTCCGTGGCGTACGGCAGCGGCCGTGGGGCAAATGGGCGGCAGAGATTCGAGACCCCTTTAGGCGTGTACGGCTGTGGCTAGGCACATACGAAACGGCGGAGGAGGCTGCTATGGTATACGATCACGCGGCGATCCAGCTGCGTGGTCCTGACGCGCTCACAAATTTCTCAGCGCCGTCGCGAACGGACAACAAAACAAGATCAGGTTACAACTCCGGCGAGGAGTCCCACAACATTGTGAAATCACCAAAGTCTGTTCTCCGATTCTCCTCGGCGGCGGACTCTCAAACAGAAGTCGAAGCCGAAGCCGAGTCATCGTCGATCTTTTCGCCGCCAAACAATGCGGTTTCGTTGAAGGAAAATGAGGATATTACCTTATGGGAGAACCTCTCGGACTTTCCGATATTTCCGTCGGGTGAAGATATGTTCCGAGAATTCGATGACCCGCTTCCCGTACCCGATTTGTTTGATCAAACGGATTTCCCAGATTGTATCCTTGGATTTGATTTGGATTGTTGCAAGGACATACTTGTTGGGTCAAGTAATGATGCCGGGTTTGGGCAGACGGATGACTACTTTCAAGATTTCGGGGATGTATTCGGGTCGGATCCTCTAGTTATACTTTGAAGAAGTTAAGAACGGTGAAAATTATGCACAATAGCAGGATTTGCTGATTTTTCGACAGTTACGAATTAGCAGGAAATAAGAATCTCCATCTTCTGTTAAATTAAGTAATTATCGGATTTTTTTTTCTTTTCTTTTTTGGGTTTGGTTTGGCGTTGATGTGAATTTATGAGTAGTAAATGCAATTATTATAATTATTGTTTCTATTTTAATTATGAGTTATTTCTAAGATGAGACATGTCGTTTGTCATGTGACTTGCAAAGTTATGAATTAGGTGAAGGATTAAAATGGAATGACCTCAAAATGTACCAAAAATAGAATTTCCATAGGCAATTTAAAGCTATTTCAAATTCACCACTGCACAGTGAATTCGTGTATACATAGGAATAGAGAAAAAAATTAGTGTGGATGTCAAGGTCTTCTTAGCGTCTTCTAGTTGACACTAAAACGTGTATTAATGGTCGAAAATATTCTTTGTATCAAGTTTTCGCCTTGTAATTATATGAATTGAAATTGGTGGGAAGGCACTATCTTGACAAGCTTTTTTAACGTTTATCGAGACTTTACTTGTGAGTGTAGTATTGAGTTTGTTAATCTCAGTCGTCGAGACCATGTATAATCATGTCGAGAAGTCATTTGGTGGATCCCATGTCTTGAATCGATTGTTGGCTTGACATGTTAGAAATTGAGGGTCTTGATAGCATTTTATACAAGATTTTTCTACCTAACAATCTACGTGGACCCTATTAAATCATATGCATATGACATGAAGAAGAGGTTTAAAGTCTATTACCAAATCGAACCGTACCCGTCTAGTACTCTCTTAATCAAGAAACTAGACTCAAGGGTAAGTCGTAATTGTTTACAGCGACAGACCTCTTAGCTCATTAAACCTAAACCTGACTCATAAAAATCAACAAGAACAAGTTGGCATAAATAATATTCGAAAAGCTTGAAAAGAAGGTTACTATTTTAAAAATAAATGATATCATGATTCGGAAAGGCAGGCCAATGTGTTTGTCTTTAACGGCATTTTTCTTTGGGGAAACAAAATCATAAATCATCAACGTAGCCTGCAGTTTTATTTCCTCAGGTGATGTTCTTTGGGACCCTTACTCGTGTGTTTGCCTGCTGTCCAAATTCAGTAAATCAAAAGTTATATTAGGACAAACAATATTTGATGATTTTAGTAGAGAACCATCAATTTAGTAAGCAGTACTATATTCGAATCTAGAACGAGTTTGGAGTGGTGAAAAGTATTTGGATAATGAATCTTGATTTCAATTACAAGATCTAGAACTATTTGGATTATGCCCACCTAAGCTTGTCGAGAATTTAAATTAAGATTTAAGGTTGAATCGGGCATAGGAATCTACTTGTTCGATTAGATGCTCACATTTACTACTATCATTTTCAAGTGGTGTGCAAATGCTTGACTTTACACTATCCCACGAGAACTTTGACTAATAGCTCCCAAAAGTAGTGTGTCCTACTTCGATTTACTTTCACCTATTACCCACACATTGAACTGAGTTGTATTTATTGTCCAAAACGAAGTTGTATTTATTGAATAATAAAAAAAAAGAGATCACACCAAGGACGGAGGGGGGCAAGCCCAGCCCCAATATAAAATTATTATTATTTTTTTTTTTGTCGCTCCGTCCTTGAATAATATGCTACATAAATTGATGCTTAACACCACTAAAGTCGAATGACATTACTAAAATTTTCACGTACAAAAACCTATTTTTACTACTTTTGGCTTCTTCCCATATTCAAAAAACTCTTACATGATATTGTCGTATTCCTCTTCCACTTGTATTATAACTATACATTGAGAAAACGAGGGTTTTTACTGTCTGCTCAAATTACAAGAATTTTTATGAGAGTTATTGGTCGTTTGAATCGTGATTGAATTTTGTGGTCCATGATGAGCTGGTACTTCTGAGACAGATTCGGACAACCAACTGGCCTTATTGCAACCTCTGCACCACCTGAAAATCTTAACTTATACGACATATATATACTGTTACATACCCCACAGGGAAATAGAAATGCCAAATTTTATGACCTTTGTAGATATTACATGAGCCAAGAATTTATTAATTATTTTTGGTATTTTTTTCTCAGTCAAAATTAATGCTCCTTACACCACCAACCTAGCTACTAGGTTACTACATTTTCCTTTTATTTCATCCCTAGTTTGGAATGCTTTCATTTACATTTTCTTTTCGTGTTTCGAGTCTGCCCACTTGGTCACGTCTCTACATTTTTTTATGTACACGTCAATAGTGTATAATTTCAGATAAAATGATATTGATGAAAGAGGTGACTCTTAAAAAGGGACTGCGTTGATTGGGATATTGGGTCGATCTTGAATTTATAAAGGAATTCGATAGGCTAAGGCGTTTTGAGAATGAGGGATTCACCCATTTTATACCTTACTCGAACGTTTATAAATGAAATTTATTCAATAATTCAACTTTAAGCTTATCATTTCCCAATTAAAACACAATAGCCCCAAACTTCCTTTTCATATGGCAGTGATTTTTTTTTTTGTCCGCTTACTTCATTCATTTATGTGCATTCTTGAATGGCATTTGAAAAAATACACAAAGGCCATTGTGTGCAGGCAGCCTTTATAGTAAGACAGAAAAATGATTACCTGGAAGATGTTGATGCATCCTAAGGTAGACTAGGATCTTCTGATTTTTCTTCATAAATACATGGTTATGTCTTTTTTCTAGGAAATTCTGGTCTTTCTCATGGGGTCCTTACATTTCAATTTATGTGACTTTATCAACCAACTCTTGTTGTCAAGTTGATAGCATGTTTTTTAGACTATTTGATACGTTTGATTTAGTAGTATCATGCTAGAGGTCTTGCATCATCCAAACAATGTCAAATCTTGAAACAACGATAATCCTATGACAACACTAGTAAATATAGTTTTTGTTTTAATTTTTAGATGCTTTTTCTTACTTTTAACTAAAGGCAAATGGTTGCCATTGTAGGTAAATAGAATCTCTAGCCGCGGTTTTTGAGCCATTGCAGGTTCATTTTTTATTCCATAATTAACTAAAGTCAATTTTTTATTTTTATTATTTTTTTTAAGGATAACTATTTCACAACTTGGATTGGGGTTTGGTAGAGAATTTATTGTATGTTTGGGTTTGCATTTTTTTGGTGTTGAGAAATATTTTGGTCAAACAATTTTCTATTTATACATTTTGTAGGATTTACAAGTATCCTCCATTTCTCCGCAGTTTGTTTATAAGCACCTTGTCGGACATATCCCTTTAGCCCCTGTTTGCCCTCCATTAACTTTCATTTTTGTTCATTAAATTTCGTTTTCTCCAGTCAAGGATGGTAGGCGGCTAGGACCCACTGACACCTTGATGCAACAGAAATGAATTTAAAATGAATTTCTTGAATTTTAATATAACCACTCACTTGCTTGAATGACAATTTCGCCCCGGATGTTGTGTAACTGTCAACATGAGTGCGAGGATATTTTCGTCCTTCCCTAAACCACCGGCTGTGTTTGCAATAAATGCGGCTGACACGTGATTGACTTGTTTGACAGGTTAGTATATTGAAAAGTGTGATAATGAACCAAAATGAGATAAAACGGGGGCCAAACAGGGGCTTAGTGTTATATTACATGTACTAGATTTTTCCATTAGGGTTTCTTACAACCATTTGAATCTCATGCTCTATTATAAGTAGCTAGAATTGTTTGCATAGTTATTATTTTATCAACAACTCAATAAATGCTCGAAATTGTGAAATTGAAAGAAGTTGTGTTTTCAAAGTTAATGAACTCGTTCAAGAACATTGCAACATTATACGTGTAATAAATTCATCACCCTGCGTGTTACTTACGATAAGGTATTTCTTCTTTGTATCCTCGAGTCACATTTTTTTATGAAAAATTATTCATTGGAATAATAATTTAACAACATACGAGAAAATACTAAATGTGATGTTGTCCAAATCTTGTGGCATAATTAGTAAGATAGATTTAGAGGTATCAAACGAGTTGGGATAGTTGAAAGAGGTCTAACTTGCCTGTTTGGACATGGTGCCCCATGGCAAAAAACTATACGCCAGGCCATTTTATCTCAAGTTACACTTCCAAAAGAACTGGTAAAATTGAAATGATATAATTCAATTCAATGTATGAATATTACTGTTACTTTTGCCCTTTTTCTGTGCAAATCAAATCATTCTAAAAAAATCTCAGAGTGCATTTGATGCACATTAAAATAGAAAGAATGTATTTTTTTTGTAATGTGATAGTGAATATGTGCTTGAAAAAGAAGAAAAATTTATTGATATAATGAAAAATATTATTTTATTGAAAAATGAGTAGTTGAAAATGAGTATAAGAATGAGAATGTGGCTCAAACGGAGGCTCAATCAAGTAACAGGTCACAATAACAGAGATCCTCTTCGTTTATACTGCCAAAAGTTGGATCCAAATCATGTTCTGTTCTTGGGCTTAATGGGTCATCATCAAATGGGCCTACGGTCCCACGGGCCAGCTCACCTACACACTGCGCACGCTATAAAGTGCAGGACTGCAGTAGCCTAACTTCAACCTGGTGCGTACAAACTTTGTTAAATTTGGCGCGTATTTTATGAGTAGGGTTAGCGGGGGTATTTTTATTTTTTTTAAAGAATTATCTTGCCCTTTTTCTTATTTGTAAAGGCAATCTCCAAGTTGCTTAAAAATTAAAAAATGGACACAATAGTCATCCTTTCTTTTCATATTGTTTATTTTTTTGCAAAAAATCTTTATTAATTGCTAAAATATGTACCATTCATTTAGGATAAGCGGAGAAATCCCAGTGGCTCATTTTAATTAGTTTAGACTCGTAAATCTTGAGTCAAATCACCGTTGATTTTTCAGAGAGGTTAAATATGACCGTACGACACTCTCTGAATCCCTCATAAAGTATTCAATGATAAGTTGATGAAAGCTATATACAAATTTCAA